TCTTGGGGCATGTTAATGTAAGTGTTTTTGTTTTTTCCCCCCACTCAAAGGTGGCTGCATGGTTTTTTTTTTGTTTTTTTACTGCTTTTTTAAATTGTTTAGTCATCTTCAAAATCCTTACCAAACTTTAATTTTTTTTCCATTATTTGATGGTAACCCTTTTTATCTGAAATTTTCATCCTGCTTTAAATAGGTGAAGAAAAAAAAAATTGTGCAAAGTTTGTATCTTTTGTGATTGCATAATGTCTTTTCCACTTAAACTTTTAGTGTTTGAGTTTTGTTATTTTGTGCTTATTATGACTTGCTGTTCCTACTAAATTTTTGTTTGGTACAAGAACTTGTATTTGGTAAGGCGAAGTTTTAACAGAGTGCATCCTTTTGAATCACTTGTAAACAACAGTTGCCAAAAATTTCTTTTTTGCACTCACTCCAAGGTGTAACCCTAGTTTTAAGGTGCCACTTTTTTACTTTTTTTTTTTTTAATTTCAAGATCTATTTACCAGTTTTATCATATTCTTTCACAGATATAGTCTTCTTTGACCATGATGAAAAAAAAAAAAAATTTTTTTTTCTTCTTCTATAAGAGAAATGTTTTCTTTGGGAGCAGTAAACTTCAGTGGCATATATCATTTGTACACTAATAGGTAGAGTGTGTGTGTGTGGGGGGGGTCTCTCTGAATGTGTCCCCCCACACAAATATGAAAATGTGGCAGGTTCAAAAGCTTTTTCGTTTTTGATAAGAGGGAAGAGGGTATTTAATTCATTAAACTAAGAGCTCCATCCCTGGCAAAAGGCAAATGCAACTCAAGGTCAATTTTAATATCAGAGACCATCATACCTACATTACACATTTTAATACTGAAGACCCTCTGATGTGAACAGAAGTTGAACAAGGCCAATATACACAAACCTTCGGACATGATGACTTGTGGTTTCATGCTAGAACCATCAATGGCTTCGAGTTTTGTCTGCCCAAATTCACTCACAAGCTATGGTTTAGTTTTCCCCAATCACAAATCAAAGAGACATAAATGCCCAAGGGGGTCATATCCATCCTTACCAATACACATTAGGGTAACAATGATCTGGAGAAAGTCTACATCCAAAACTTCTTTTACAGGTTAAGTATAGTCTTTTCAATGGTGCCATATTCTGGGATTGTCTCCTCAAGCCATTATCAAGAAATCATTCCTTGACAAATCAACTGTAGTGAAATTCAAATCTCTCAGTGGGAACACTCGGCCTAGTGTCAATAATTATTAATTTTTTTTTTCATATTTATAATTTTTATATAAATGTTTGATTTTCATTGGTTAATCATTTCAAGTGCATTTGACTTGTTAAACTTTATTAAAATTTGCGACATTCTGAATTCAAGAAAAGACCATGTGTGCACTCAAAATTTCAATAAATTAAGATTTCAAACCTAACTGAAAAAAATGTAGTGCCTTATGTACGTAAGTGTATAATAATTCTAGGTTGTCTCTGTAGGATTCAGACAATGTATATTTGTGTGCGAGTAGTAGACATTGTTTGTTGGTTTTTCACGTTGATTTGGGAACATTTTTACATACATTTAGATATATAAACAATCACCTCATTTGTGGCTTAGAGACTCCAAGCATCATTAATGATTTTCAACTGTGTTAGTTTTCTCTTTTTAATATTTTTTTTAAATCCTCATAATGAAATCTGCTGCTTCAAATATTTGTAAAACTTTTTCAGTTTTCAAAAACATTCAATACAGGAGATAGGAGAGGAAGAAGAAAAAAAAAAAAAAACACAGCCTCATTTCCAATGCTTAAATTCTTTGCTGTTAATCCCTACCTAATTATACTACTGAATATTATTGGCCAGTCCTTCCAATGCAAAAAAAAGTAAAATAAAAAATCTATAATTTAAGTTTCATTTCTCTTAGTTGCCAGTCTCCAGATTTCCTGTTCATAATCAAATCCCAATCTTGTTATAAAATTTAGATAAGTCATTTATGTGAATGTGACAAAGATGAGAACAGCCCAATATAAATTGTGTAAACATATCCTGTATTCTAATTTTTTTTTCATTGGATCAAAATTTGCAGTTTCATGTCTTCCTATCAATCTTTAGGACATGAAAGGTTTTGAGTAATCTAATCCTGTGGCCAAATAGTTAAACCAACCTAATCTGGAATTAGGTATGCTAGAATTTGGGCCTCTACAAAAAGTACACTGAATAAGAGCAAATAAATGAAACTGATCTCACTTTTAGTCTGTAGGAATCAAATTGGGCAATACTATTATTTAGTAATATCATTAGTCATTTATTCTATAAATGACTTATCAATATAAAAAAAATCATACATATTTTGAGAAGAGCATTTAACAGTGTTGAATAATTGAATTGTCTTTAATCCAAAGCAATGAAAACATGTTGATAATATCAAAATTTTACTAGAAACGGCTGTGTGATATGTCCACCTGTATGGCAGTGAGTGTTGAACAATATCCACAAAGATGAGACTTAAAGCAACAGAAATATGGTTCTACAGAAGGATGCTGAGGATACCATAGACCAAATAGGTGAGCAATGATAAAGTTTTGGAGAAAGAAACAAAAATCAAACTAATATTAAACATCAGTTTATCTATGTGCTTATATACCATAGAGTGGTTAGTATGCTAGTCTTATAAAGCCCTTTCTAGCACAGAGTTCAACCCTCACTAGATTCCCTGCTAATGTGGATTTGTGCCAAACTAAGCTTGGTAAATCTCTATGCATCCCTATATACAGGTTTGTCAGATTAAACAAGTTGAGCAATGCCATAACTATTCAATAACCAAAAAGGTATTGGTAACACTCCACAGCTGTTTAAAACCCTTGTTTTTGTCATATAGGAAAATCCAACATGGCGCGTAAACGAAATATGCGGCAAAAAATCTCATTCGTCAGTAACATTTTAAACACCTCATAGAATGTAAAGTTCTTAAAGAAAACCTATGTCAAAGTGTTTTCATGAATCCTTGATGACTTGGCTGTCCGAAAATGATAATATCAAGATGAAATAATGGAAACTGACCGTGAAAAATACAATTATGCTAACAGGTTTTCGATCAATTAGTAAACTTCTGGACCTTTTAGGGCGACCTTATAGGATCCAGACGGCTATTTTTGCACATGGAATTATTCACTGGTAATTAATCTTGATTTGGCTGTGGAAAATGTCACTCGGCGGTTAGCATTAAGAAATTATGCACAATTTTCTGAGAAAAATTCCCTTTTTTAATGAAAAAATATTCATTTTCGCTTCAAAATAACATCATTCAAAATTCATTCCTTTCTCTTTCATTTGGCATGAACATCATTGAATAAAAAGAAAGGCTAAATGGACGGCGATGGGAAATACAAAAGATATATGGGAAAAAAAAAAAACAATGTCGTCTGCTAAGTAGTGTTGTCATCACCAGGGTCACGGGGGTGTTAAAAACAAAACAAAACTTATCAAGCCATTGTTCAAACATAGGTTATATGAAGCCCTAGTAATTGTGAACCCTTTTTTATTCACTCTTTGCTTTTATCTGGGAGTGGTGGGTTTTATTACAACTTGTTCTAAGGTTTGCCGTCCGTTTATTGCTGGCTGGCTGGCTGCCTGGCCTTTGACCTAGACGTCAAAGTCAATTAGGTTTATTTTCCCTTATCGCTATTAGGAAAAAAAAAAACTTTTGGTTTCTGGTGGTTAGGAATTGCAGATAAATCTCTTGCCTTTTACTAAAGATTTCCGTGGCCAGGTGTCAATTTTTTTTTAACCCTTGGCAGTCATAATTGAAAATTAACAATGGATTTTGTTGCATTTTTTGAACCCCTAGGAATGTTGATTTCCTTCAAAACTCAATTTTATGACTGAAATAGTTTGATTATGATCTAGGCTTTCTGATTTCAAAAAAAAAAAAAAAAAAAAAAAAAAAATGGTTAATTTTCCATTAATGGGGGAAATATTTGTTTAGAACAAGAAAAAAATGCAAAATTTTCACTATTTTTTCACATTTTACCCACTGAAAAAATTTTTGAGTCATTTACACCAGCTAATTTTACTTTTAAATGAAAGAATATATCTTTTGCTTTCAGAAAATACCTAGTTTCATGGGGTTCAGATCAAAAGTTTCCTTGATATTAGTTTAGGTGATGATAAAACAGTCATTTTTCAATATTTTACCCCTATAAAAGTATGAAAACCCATATTTTGAGAGAAAATAAGCTGTGACAAAATGACTTTTGCTATTTTTGTGATGATTTTCAGTTGGGAAAAAAAATTTTTACCATAGGAAACCTGAATTGACTTTATTTAAGTTCAGTGGGTCTGTAGGAAACCTCAAACAGCTGTGACTCCCTACAATTTGGTAAAGAGCCATAACAAAAAATGACCATAATTTTAATTTAAAAATGCTATTTTGATTAAAGAGAAAGTAATTTACTACTAAGACAAAAATGTATAGAAAGTGCTTTAATCACTAGATCACCCACAGTAAATTTATACCCAGCCTCTTACATTTCACCATTCTTGGCAGATCTATTATTACAATGTGGGACATTTAATAACAGAAGTGTTAGAAACAAAATGAAACTTAACAGAATTGTCCAGACTATATGCCCCAAACATAAAAATTCCCAGTGTCCCCTTACTTTTTGTGCACATGTAGTCATATCAACATAAACACTTTCCACTTCACCATAGCCCTGTCCACATTGTTCTTGACATAAATATTTATATATCACTTCCCCATATCAACCTGTATAATCCAATACATAGAAGTGATGCAAAACCTTAAGAGAAATTTGCTCAGATTGTTAGTTTACAACACCCTCCACATCACTTCACTCATAGCACCCAATATTTTATCCAACAATTGTGAAAATTAACTTCAGTTTGCTGCAGGACAATTGTTTAATAAACTTTCCCTCAAACCATAAAAGATGAAAGAAGACAAGACAAGTTTTTCACATATTTATTTTTAATGCTGGATTATTTCAGTAATTTCTGAAAAAGAAAAAAAATCTATATTAAAAAACAATCAGAAAACACTTTTTCTATAAAACATAGTATTCTGAAAAAATATACAGTCCAAAAATTTCTAAAATTAAATTCAAATAACTCATTTTAAAATGTCTTATCATTTACAATGTATTTTCTACCAAACAATTAAGAGTAAAATACTTACTTGGCAATGATACCGTCCCTTTTGGTTAAGCGAACAAGACTGTCATCTGATTCACCCTGTGAAAACAAAACACGTTTAAAGCAAATTTTCAGTTGTTTATATGGCTCTTCAAGCCAACATTAAATTTAAAAAAAGAAAAGAAAAAAAAAAAAAAAAAATACTAGTGACTTTTTAAAAAGCAGATTTAATGTTCTTGATATAAACTTGTCAGAGTTAGCTCCTTAATTCCCAAATTGTCACTGGGAGTCATTCTCTCTATACTATAAATACGGGGTGACCTCTTGCCTTGCTCCCTTTCCTTCACTACATCCCACCTCACATGGAGGTGGGGTAAATCCTCTTTTTCATTCCTTCATTTCAGCAACTAAAATGTAAGTAAGGTGATAGCATTTCCCACTTGCAGGAAGACACCATGAGCATTATACACACACATATATAAAAACATTCACCAAAGAATAAACACAAATATTCTCACACATACAAGTATTATTGTCTATGTCCCTTGTAAAATTGTTTTGTTTGTCTTTTTTATCTTCAGTTGGACTTAATTCAAGTCCGCCATTTTCTGGTAGCTTGACCTTCTTCTAGCAGGAAATATAAACGCACGTGTTTTCTTTTCATCTTCACCCCCTCCCCCAGTCCTATAAATCTATAACTATAAATCAAATAAAATTATCTTATTTCAAATACTATTGAGTAATGATTCCTATTCAATCCTGTTCTGGTAAAAATTTTTTACATCTGGGAAGTCCATGAAAAATATCTGTGGAAGAAACTTCTAATTCATAAAGTTTAATTGTTGGAAATGCCTTAGGGAATTTCTTAAAGAAAAACCTATAAAAAGACATCTCCAAAATTGCTGTGCCAAAGCTTTGACTCCCCTCACAGGTGGGTTCCATGAGAGGCAACACTCTTTGGAGTCTGTATTAATCACAAATTTTTTTTAAAGTCATTTTAGTTTTCAATTTTGTTAAGGATTCTTGCAAGTGGTTTTAAATGATTTATCATATGCATTCCACCTGAGAACTTTAAATTTTTAACCTTAAATTTGAAATATTCTTTTGAAAGTTAAAAACTTACCATTTGTCTGATCTTTCCACAAATAGCATATGTTTTGTTTATGCCAGTCATTCGACCTGTGGTTTCATCCACCTGAAAACATCAAACTTTTAAAGTAAAATAAAGAATAAAAAGCAATCTTCTACATCTTTTTTATTTTCCATAGCATTAACCTTTGGAATAAGCGAGAAATATTCTGACCTATTGCATCTTATGTGACATTTATTCAAGTCATATCGAAGCAACTCTATATTCTTTGAGCAAATATTAAAGTAGAACATCTTTTTATGTCAGAAAATATTAATAGCCAAAGACAGGAAAACTGAACTCAAATTACACTTTTTAAATAGGAGTCAGGGAAAAAAAAAAAAAATATTACTTCATAAAACGAGCTATCTCACACACAATAAAAAAAAAAAAAAAAGTAATGGTTTACATAAAATACCATAAGTGCACCAAAATGACCGATATTTCAGATTGCAGTACAAAGTACAAGTCTAGTGTCAGAGGTGCTTGTCCAGACAATTTCAGTAGAGAAATTGCCTGAAAGTTTTCCTCTAGTTTCTTTTCCAAAGATTTGGCCCTGGTCACAAATTAAGCATATGAACAGGAATTTGACTTTGGGATTAACTATTTCAGATATTCTGAAATGTTCACAAAATAAAAACTTCCAATTTTGCAAGGGAAGACAGTTCCATAATCCAAGAGAATATCAGAACCAATTTAACAACTGAATAATTTGTTCCATTTTAAACCAATAGAATTAAAAATTGGTAATTAAAGGCAATTTCCTCATACAATAAATTTCTCAAGTAACAACAAGTGTCAGTACTGAATGAGTAACAATATAAACCAATTGACTATTTTCCTATCAGGTTATAATTTAAGTTTCAAAGAAACCCTCTTGAAATAAATTTTAAAGTCGTATTTTAGTTCTAATGCTTTTGAGAGATTAAAAGCAGCAAGTATATACGAAGAGGTTAAGAAAATCATTTTTTTTCGAAATACTAAAAAGGAACAAATTTAAACAAAAACTAAAATTTATATTCTAATTACACACAATCTAAGTCAATAAGAAATAGAATTAAATCCAAAAAAATGTAATATTTTACATAAAATACCATAAGTGCACCAAAATGACCGATATTTCAGATTGCAGTACAAAGTACATGTCTAGTGTCAGAGGTGCTTGTCCAGACAATTTCAGTAGAGAAATTGCCTGAAAGTTTTCCTCTAGTTTCTCTCCCAAAGATTTGGCCCTGGTCACAAATTAAGCATATGAACAGGAATTTGACTTTGGGATCAACTATTTCAGATATTCTGAAATATTCACAAAATAAAAACTTCCAATTTTGCAAGTGAAGACAGTTCCATAATCCAAGAGAATATCAGAACCAATAGGATTAAAAATTATTGGTAATTAAAGACAATTTACAAATACAATAAATTTCTTTGACTTTTTCACTAAATAAAAAAAAAAACACAGCATGGTGAAAATGGGCCCTAAATATGATGAAAAGATGAAAGACCAAGTTTTATTAATTTTCTTAATCTTTTCTAGCATGTTCTAAATTTTTTTTTTTTTTTTGGTATCATCAGTGGGTCAAAGATTAGAGAAATTTAGCATCTATTTTTGCAGTAAAAAACAGTGTTTTGGAAATTCTCACAAGAATCAAATAACTGTTGGATTTCAAAGAGATTTTGAGGACTTATTCAAAAATGAATAAAATTATTACAACTGTTACCTCTCCACTTAATTTTATTAAATTTTGATCCAAATATCTTTTATATTGGTTAAAGCAGGACTCCTTGGAGAATGTAAATCAATTTTTCTTTTTTTAAACAGTTACTCATTTACAAAAAATCTGCTTAAAAACAATAAAACTATGACATTAATTAGAAAAGCTTTTAATTACTTTTATAAGATATATTAAGGACACTATTGTCTTGAGAACATTTTTTCCAATGAATAATGAATTTTTATGAGTATTTTTTTTTTTAATTTAAATAATTATAAGTTTTAAATCTTAAAATTCTGTATTAATTTCAGGCTTTTTGATTATATCAAGTGTAAAATGTATTTACTAATCAAAGTAAAAACTTAATACAAATCACAAAGATTAAAAATTGATTATATATATTTTTTTTTAATTAGTGTATAAACATGCCAATTTTTCTAAGTACAGTTGACCAAAGAGTGATAACTATAGTAAATTCAAAGCCAAAAATTCTAAAATTCAATAAAAGAGATTATGGAGAATATTTTCCTCAATTTTTAAGATTGCCGATTACTTCAAAATTAGATAAGGCATTTACGTCATTTTCTTAAATTATCTGTCAACACCTCAAACACTCAAACATGGCTACTGCCAGTTAAAAATTAATTTCTGTGATATTTCAAACTCAAAGTAAATATTTGTTTCAAATTAAGTTAATTATCCTTTAAATCAGCTAATATTCCTCTGTTTGAGAAAATTTTTTATTTTTGCAAGACTTTTAAAACCAACTAACTTGTGTTTATAAATCTGGGAAAAAAAAAAAAAAAATACTTTGACGATGTTATTACTGAAAAAAGGTCACATTCAATCAATATAATTTGCTTGAAATTTAGAAAATTTTGCTTACTAAAAATAGTAAATTTAATCCTTTAGCTGTCAACGAAAGCTTCAAGAAAACCTTTTTCATTTTTAAAAATCAATTTAAATCGTAGGAATCACGATTTTTGTGGAGGTACCTAATCAAGTGTCAATGAGTGACAACACAGACCAAGTGACAACACAGACCAAGTGACTATTTTCTGATCAGCTTATGATTTAAGTTTCAAAGAAACCCTCTTGAAATAAATTGAAGTATTTTAGCTCTAATGCTTTTGCGAGATTAAGACCAGCAAGTATATCTGAATGAAACGAGATAAAAACATTTTTTTCAAAATACAAAAGGAATACTTGTAAACAAAAACTAAAATTAACACCTTTATAAATGCAATTACACACAATCAATAATAGAATTAAATACGAAAAAAAAAGTAATGTTTTACATAAAATACCATAAGTGCACCAAAATGACCGATATTTCAGATTGCAGTACAAAGTACGAGTCTAGTGTCAGAGGTGCTTGTCCAGACAATTTCAGTAGAGAAATTGCCTGAAAGTTTTCCTCTAGTTTCTTTTCCAAAGATTTGGCCCTGGTCACAAATTAAGCATATGAACAGGAATTTGACTGACTTTGGAATTCTAAAAAGGCCATAAATATATTTTATCTAGCTTATCGGCAGCATTTAATTCGGCCTTCATTACAACAGGTAGGGAGGAGTAGATGCAATTTAGCAACAATAAAGTACAGAAGAACTCAAAATTGATCACCGCATTTAAGTATTGCATTAATATTTAAGCTTACCTTTTAAAGTTTCAATGATAATTCTTCTGCCACCACTTAATTTAACCATTTACAGGATATCATTTATGGCTTACAATAGTTACAAATATGGCAACGTTTATATATATATATATATATAAAAATTTTTTTAAGCTTTTTAATTTGTAAATGTCAATTTTTTTTTTTTTTTTTTTTTTTTTTACTAACATCTTGAGCCTACAGAGTATCAGCAGATGAGATCAATATTTTTCTCTATCTGTAGACAAAACTTATTACAATAATATCTGTTAATATAATTTAAGTTTTAAGGTTCCTAGATATGACTTTAGAAAGTGTATGAAAAATTTAATTATTCAAACCTCAAATTAAATTTCAAGCTACTTAGTCTAATTAAGGAAAAAAAACTGCTAGCAAGACAGAATCTAGATGAAGGGAAATGAAGTCCTTCAGGAGATAAAATAAATTTAAATAAAGATTTAGTAGTTGAGACAAACTTTCAAAAAAATACAAAATTATAGAGAAAATGTATAAAATTTTTCAATGATTAAAAAAAAAAAAAAACATCAAAAGTTCAAGACATATCCAGATTTTATTTACCAAAGCTTTGACCCCACAAACAAGATCAAATTGTCAGTGGCAACACTTGGATGCCAATGAACATCTCCATGTTTTTCTTGGATTTAAATTTGAAAAACAAAAATAAATCTGTTTTATTACCTGTATTGATTATAATAATATTTTGAATTCTTAAAAGTTGAGAAAAGATCTATTTCATATTTGATATACAATCAATCAATATATAACTGAGAAAAAGCAAATTAAATAATAATTAAGTTATTTACTTTTACCATGCCCATAATCTACATACACATAAACCAAAAATAATTTTTTTTATCGCCAAATGTAAGGTTGGAATAATCTGATTCAGCCATATGATAGTCAAACTCGAGCTAAATATCTAGATTTATCATTTTAATTATAATTATGAAAATGAAATGTAGGAGGTTTCTCTTTAGAAGTTATTCAAAAAAGAAAAAAAAAAAAAAAAAACTTCACAAAGACTTATCCAAATTCGATTTACCAAAGCTTTGACTCCACAAACAGGTTTGAACTATCTGTGGCAACACTCTTTGGATGTTGATTTGCACTTTTAATTTTTACTAACTCATGAAATGTGAAAATTTTATTAAAGAGCAACCAAAGAAAAAACATTGTCAAAAAGCACCTGTGATTCTAAAATTAAAAGGTATAATTATTCTTACTTATTAATGAAAAGGTTCATTTAAATAAGGATTTTTAACCAATACACTTAAAATAGAGAATAATTTTTTTTTAAAACCCGCCAAGAATATAAACAAAACTGAAAACACGTTGAATTTTGTTTGATTTTTACTTTTATAATAGAGAAAAACTTCAATTACTCACATCGGCTATGTTAATTTGTACAGAAGCATGGTCTTTTGCTGCTACAATTCTGTTACTAGCGGAACTGAAAAGGAAGTGAAATATTTAACGTGAACATTTCACAATTTGTGTGTAAGTACTGAATGCTTTATAATGAAAAAACACACCAATTCTGAGGATAGTTTATTGAAAAAAAAAAAAAAAAAAATTCATTAATATTCATTCAGTGAAGATTAAGAATTTCAATTTTATTATCAAACAAATCAAAGTTATTTTATATTGAATATTGTCTAGTTCGGCTTTTTAAACTATTACTTTCAATAATTATGGAATTTTTTATCAAGGATTTTTTTTAACATTTTTAGAGGCAACTTACTAGTTATCATATTTTATTTCCGGTTAGAATTTTAAAACAATGGAGATAAAACTAGATCATTATTTTCATTTTAATTTACAAGTAAAATTAAAATTAAGAAGCGGTTGAAAAACTTTTATTTTATAATCACTAAATTTATAGAGCTAAAAAAAAAAAAAAAAATCACCAATAATACCTTTTGAACGTTGACATTTTTTAAAACTTTCCTAGACACGCCTTTAATTTCGAGCATATTTAAAGACTTACTGCATAAATATGTACACGAAAATAATGCGATATGCCATATTTATAAATGCTAAACTAATTAATACTAGTGAGTTTAGAAGCACATCAAGGGACTTCTCTAATACAAAAATATTTTTCCATTTCATCGACTGATCAAAACTAACAATCACGTGTCGATACTAATTCTAGCCATCACATTAAGTATTTCTTCAAAATATTTTACATAATTTTTATTGTACTAAAACTTCATTACAATCGAGGTGCTTAAAGCAAACACATCGCATTTAGACACTAATAATATTTAACAATGTAAACTATTAATTTCATTCAAGGCAACCACGTGTGCATTCGGCGAATAATGGAGGAGAGGTTAACTCTTACCATTTTCTTGGGATATACATATCCACGAAATCTCCAGCTTCGTTCTGCATGGTTACTGTTTTTGTTATATCCTGAACTTGAATAAACTGCAAAATAATTGCGTATCATAATTTTTGGTCCAATACAACATTAAAAGTAAAAACAATAAAAATAAAATACGGAGACACTTAACTACTACTCACGTTCAATAGTAATGGCGGCACAAGAAAGGCTGAGCACGCGTAGATTTCCCACAATGCAATTTTAAATCCCGTTTTTTCTCGGAACTTCTCGGCTTAAAGTATTTCTCTGCGCGTTTTCGCTATTGATAAAAATTTAGAGCGGAAACAATTCAGATTAAATTTTCAAAATTTGATTATTGAAAGGCGAAAGAAAGCAGTGAATGATTATTACTAAATTCAATGCTGAAACTTGCCAATACCGGATTACTGTAAAAAAAAAAAAAACTTTTATTTAAGACAATCTTCTAAGCTTCTCTTGGCTTTCAAAACTAAGTTTGGTTTGGAAAATAAAAAAAAATGATTTGTAAAGAAAGCTGAATTGATTGATAACTCTGTGTGATAAATTTAAAACACTTTCAATGGAGACTTCTGAATGTTTTTTATTTATTTTTATTTATTTATTTTTTTTTTTTTTTTGCGTGAATCTATCATAGAATTTCTAGAGTATTATTGTCTATTTTAGCTTTTCAAACAATTTTACATGCCCAATACTTATTTATCTCCCTTACATCATGCAAATTTATTGGGCAGTAACACTCATTTGGAGTCCTTTCGATTTGAAATTAAAAGAAAAAAAAACTCGAAATGAAATTAATTTATTTCACCTATTGTCCCACAAATAAAAACTGATGTACTCGTGGATAGGTCGCTCCAGTAAATAAGTCGCACCTTTAGTTTGGTGTTGTGAAAGTAATTATTTGCAGTTGACTCACAGATAGGTCGAACTATCTGAGGAATTGCATGGCCTTTTTTAACATAAATAACTAACATTTGTAAAATATTTTCAAATATTCACCTTTATTTCAAAACTTTGCTTACATATATTAAGACATAAGAAAAGTGTTTATTCATTTAAACTTCATCAGTCCTAAAATCACTTGAAAATGATAGTCTTTCATTTTAAATCAGATAATAAATGGTAAAAATATGAGCAGTGCAGATCAAACGCTTTTATTCAATGTGTGATGCTGTACTGTTAGAAGAGGCAATTGAGTAAAATCGAAATGTCAGAAAAAATTCATTTTCTCCCTTGCTTGAGTTCAGGGTACTTGACTGGACTACTGATATGCCACAGTCTACTTCAGATTCTCTGATGTCCAGTGGATAGGTTGTACCCCTGATTTTTATCGAAAGTTTGGTGAAAAAAAGTACAACCTATCCTTGAGTATATATGGTATATTAATTCAACATTTCTGACCAGTAAGCCTCAGAATATCCCCCCATGAAAAAAAAAAATTAGTCAAATGAATAAGATTCTAATCTGTGGAGTAAATGTTGCTAACAAAGAATGGATTAATTTAAACGAGAAAAAAATATTGTGTTGGCTACAAATATGTGTGAAGTGAACTATTGATATCTGACTAATTTAATCAGTGGTTTGCATTGTCAAGCCATAAGGATATATCAGCATCTGTCTTCATATGGCAGACAAGTTTGATATTAAATTCATAACAGTGTTTGATAGTGCATATCCTAACGAATGGAGTGAGAAGGCAGAGTTGGTATGTCATTTGTGCAGGGCAACAGAGATTGAAGGCATGCTTCCCTTGTGCTTGGTAGACAGTGTGTTTATGGTATACCAGCAACTGAGCAAGCAGGAAAGGGACAATTTCAGCTGCATGATGGATGCATTACATAACAACCTTTGACACTAACTCCTTTGTGACATACAAACAGTTCATTGGCCCATTTCAGAATCTACCAAAGCTCTTTGTTACCTTCATGGCCACATATGTGCTTTTGTCACTGGATTTCTGGATCATGTCAAACAGTTCATCCAAACCTTCTCTAGAATGGATGACATGAGCATTACTCAGCTGTTTGCATGAGCCAGACCAAGATGGGCCTTTGGGAGCTGAACCAACAGTCGCAACAGCTGTGTGATCAGTGTATGATATAAAGGGCTGAAATAAGGTTTTATACATGCAACAAACTAAACCACATGGTGAGAGACTGCTTGACAGGAAAGACATGAAGGCCAAGAATGCAAATCTCGTGGGAAGGTAACACACTACTATCTGTGTCAAGATCCATGCCATATGTCACGGAGAGAGGGACAATACAACAGCATCAGTCTCTTCCCCAAACAAGATTTAAACTTTTCACTTCCCATAATTAAAGTTTATGTTAATGTAAGAAGGTGCATGGCCATTGTAGATCTTGGATATTCCTGCACTATTATGATGAAAATGTGTCAGTCATGGGAAAAGAAGAATGCAGATGTGATAACTATCAATGGTAAGGCACTTTTTTTTTAATCATTTCAACCCAAGCAAGGCAATAAAGCCACCAGGACACAAGGAGTTACTAAGTGTTAGAGAATATGAGAAAAAACTACTATTAAGGTGTTGTGTCGGAAACCTACCACCCCTCTTGAAGATGAACTTGTCTGCGTCTGTGAACAAAGACTTTAAATAGTGGCATGTCAGTTGACATGGAGAAGATAGATAGATAGAGAAATTCTTAGCTGAGCTAGTTATTGACTACTCAGGTGATTTCTGTACCTTTTTACCAACCTATTAAAACCCTTTTTATTGTTATGTGTTATTTGGCATTTGTCTCTACTAACCCCAAATCAACATCATAACATAAGGAGATAGGACAATAAAAGAACAATAGATAATGATTGATACTGTATTTTAATTTTTGAAAATCAAAGTTGACTGAGAAGCAAGAAGCTGGAAGAGAGTTCCACAAGTGAAAAGTGCAATAGAAGAAATGATTAGCATAAAACTTACAGTTACATCTATTTCAACTGTAAAATGATGACACCATTCCACCAATCTAGTACTGCACTTAAATTCATAAAGTCCAGGTACCAGAGTGGAAAGTTCATCAGAACAATTACCCTGAAAGTATTAATAGAAAAGGCACAGGGAAGCTATGTTATGGCATTGAGAAAGAAACTGAAGCCAAGATGTCAGATCAGGACCAAAAACATTGCAGATTCTTTGGATTTTATCAAGATTCTCTAAATATATAGCAGGAGCACCAGACCAAATGTGGTAGCAATATTCCAAGCAAAGACAAATAAAAATGTAAGATAGATTCTGGCAAGAAAATTGTTTAGCGTGACATAGTGAATCAACTTTCTTAGCAGCAGACTTAGTAATTGATTCAACATACTCTTTACACTTGATGTCAGTTGAAAACATTAGTCTGAGAAGGTGCCATGAGTCACTCTCCTGGAGGTTAGAATCAACCACGCTGATGTAAGGGTTCTCTTAGATGATTAAAAGAAAGCAGTTTCGTTTTTGGAACTTTAAAATTAACAAGCAACTGATTGTTCCATTTAACAGCAGATTGTAGGCCATGTTTGAGATCATGTGAATGTGACATTGGCACTATAGACCTCAGTGTGGGTGATGCAGAAACTATTTCAATAGACACCTTGGTGGTATACAGATACCCACTAAAATCTGACTTAATAGTCAGCAGTAACAAAATGAAGGTGATAGGTGGCATGTTCATTTTGCAGTCAGCTAAAGTGCAGTTCTACTGCAAAGAGTTGTCTATGTGTGTGGCAATATTTATGAAACAGACTTTTATGCAAAATTCAACCAGCAATGAAACAAGTGGACTGCATAATGGAAATGGGCAGAAGGTAACATAACTGCCACATGGCAGAGTACCCTATGTCTGCACAAATCAGGAGTAGATACAAGGAAGAGCTTAAACAGTGGATCAAGAATGACTGGCTGATTCAACTGACAAGTAGACTATGACACCCAAAAGAACTAATTCCATTAATGGCCATGTTACAACAGAATAAATTGAAGGTATGCCCTTGATATGTCCTGGAAAGGGATATATTTGTTCAAAGTAGCAAAGTGGTTTTGGACCATTGCAACCGAGTAGAATGATCTAGTATGTAACCATAATGGACTGGTCCTCATTGTAGTGGTGGCAATAAGTGTAGGCAATAGGTGAAGACAATAGGCGTCATCCATGTACCTCCACATCAGTCTGTATTTATGGCTGACACCAGCCAATCATATTACTGTGAGGAGGAACCCAGGTGTATGCATATTCATTACATCAGTCTTGAGATGGACATTCACAGCTGATGCAAATTATTGTGCAAGCAAACAAAGGAAATGGTACTGGCAAGCACTCAACGTTTTTCTGCTGGACCCTAAGGTAGCTTATTTACATATTCCAGCGACACTCTAGCCATACAAGACAGTTGTGTTCCATGGCAAAAGGTACTGCCTGACTAGACTAGCTTTGGGGCTCAACATAGCACTGCAAATGATGAAGTCCACCATAAGAAAAGGCTGTCCTGGGACAAAATAATCAAGAAGGCAATTTCATCATACATCTACAATATGTTAATGAGGATGCAGTATCACAAAGACCACTAATCTCAGTTTGGACTCCTTAGTAGAGATCCAGAATACCTAACAGATGGTGCTAAGGTACTTAACTTTGCAGTCTTGAGGGAGAATGGTATTTTGTAGTAGAAACAAAAAATACTATCCCAGATTATATGAAGAAATGTCTGCTCACTGTGAACCAAGTTTATAGGACATCTTCCAGTATGTGAGTGGTTGTGTGTAGCAACCAGCATTATTAAATGCAGAGCAAGTACGGTGAGAAAAGGTTGCGACAAACAAACAGATGATACCCAATTAAAGAAGCCGATCAAAACTGTGATCAGAGTAAAACAGAATAACCTGCTCAAGATAAATGGTGCATAAGTGGCAAGATGATGTTTGGGTTGACACAAGTTCATTGATGATGGAGTTTTGCTTGAGATGAATGGGTCTGCCATTTAAGATGGATGCTGGTTGTATCCTGAACCTGACATGCAGCACATCAACCTTGTGGCACTGGATGTCACAATGGAAGGCAAAGGTCCTCCACCTAAAAACCAACTCTTTATGTGTTCATTGTTGGCTTACTAACATTATAACAGGCAAAGCAAGAGTGAGTATGAAGGCTGTTTAGTGTGTTGCTACTTCAGTAATTAATCTGTAATGTTTCTTACGAGAATACTTGAAATAATGGTGGTGAAAAGGTACATAAAATAACAGAGACCAATTGATTTGCAATGCAAGATAACATTTATTTAACAAAATAACAAAAGGAAAGTTTAAGAGTTTCTTTTCTTAGAAATAAATTGAATACACAACAAAATGTCAATGAATATATTTGAGTGTGACTTGCCTGTGCAGATGTGCTTGAGTATGAATCATCCTCAGCCCTTTTTGCTTCAGTGTTAATAGTTCCTGACACCCACTTCAAAAGGAGGAAAACAGGAAGAGAGTTACTTTAAGGGTTCACATTGTTTTTATACCCCTCAGGGCAGCTGCTGATACTATGTTTATTAAGGCACTACAGTTGTAAGGTACAGTGAAGTAATGGATAGTGGTGGAGGTATGGTGGAGTAATGGGTAGCAGCTTGGGTTGAGGAATCAGAGAGCTGAGTTCGAATTCCAGTCGAATCTATTACATTCACTTACATGCTAATACACTTGGGAAAGGTATGAATCCTCTTCTTCACCCCTCAGCTATGGGTAAATAGGAGGAAAGACTGGGTTCTATAGCCTTGGATGATAACTGGTCTACCACAGAAAGAAATGGCAACCTACTGCGGGGGAAAAAAATCTGCCTCGTCAGTCATGTATCAAAAGATACATGATCACCTAAGCATGTATCACACATGGTATATAACTGACAGTTATGAGTGAATTGTTGACAAGGACAAGGTTGCATACTTTCTCAGAGCTTCTTGTTGGTGGATGTTACTCTGGTTAAGTTAAAGCAAAACAAAATAGACAGAACTACCAGAGTTCCACAGAAATGGCTTGAAGCTTTGAAGAATGAAACTGGAACCATACTGAAGATTTGTGTAGTAATATTCTGAAATGCCTATAAAAGGAACAGTTTTTTATGCTTTAATGCACACATGACTATGACATTACAACATAAAAGAAAAAAAATCCATAGTGGATAATTTTTTTCACATTCTAATGAACACTAAGCATGTCAACCATTGCATCTAAAAGTAAAAAGAAAAAAATTGCAGTAATGGATAGCAACACAGTTTTGTATTACTACTTGCACCCCTGAAGATGATCTCGGGAGAAGATCAAAAGTACTTGGGAAATAAAAGCAATTTACACAGTTATAGCACACTTCTCACATTATTTAACTGCAATATATGAAAGGTTATTCATGAGTATGAAAAGATTATGTTAAAAATAAACAGACATAATGTCTGTAATTTATTTAATCAGGCATGCCTAAAAGAAAATTTACCTAAATACATAAGATAAAGTGTAAATTTTAAATTCAGTTTCCGTTTCACCTTTGAAAGTGAAGTCTGAAGATCCAGAGAAAAATAAAATTCCCTGGTGAAATAAGTTATAACTAATAGAGCCTTAAAGTGGTCTGTTTTTCCTTAAATTAAATTATTCACTCTGACTTAACATTGAGCTCTCAGCATTTCATCCTCCTTGGGATCATCCATACAGATTACCAAGATTTTTGTTACTTATATATATATATATATATATATATATATATATATGTATATGTATATTCCATTTATAGATATAATTCATTTAAGTAAATACTCTTTTTTTTTTTTAATTAAACAGTATTAATTACATTTCCTGGCCTGAATGTTCAAGAAAATATGTGCTTCTCTGACAGGATGCTACATTAGACCTAGTTAATAATGAATTCCAACTCTATATGAAAACAAACACCAATCTAATATATATCCACCCAAATTCTAACAACCCTCCATCTACAATCAAACACACAAAATACCTCTTCTATAGAATATAGGATTAGCAATAACCTCCAGTGAAGATGTCTTTTACAATCATAATAAAGTTTATAACACTTCTTTAAAAATAGTGGCTATAAGTGCCCTGACATCAGATATATAAACATAACAACAGCAATCATAGGAATAAAAATAGAAACAGAAAAATCATTTGGTACCCCCTCCCCCATTTAA